TCCTTCCCTCCCGCACCTCCCGGGAGTCCCCTGCACCCCCAGGCACCCCCGCCTGTCTCCTCCGCCCCCCTCTGCCCCTACCCTGGAGAAGGCCAGCAGGAAGTCCATGCGGTGGGTGGGCCCCAGGCAGTGCCGCAGGCGCCAGTACACCAGGTGCTCCCACGCGAAGACCAGCAGGGAGAGGCCCATGGCCACCAGGAGCATGTAGAAGACACCCGCCATGTTGTCGATGTCCAGCTTGCTACTCATCACCTCGATTTTGTCGTTGTGGCAGATCCCGGAAAGCCACAGCCGCTCCAGCATCTCGATCTCATCTGGCGAGGGCGGGGCAGGGGGCAGTCCGAGGTCACCTCTCGCGGGCATCCCCTGAGGACCCGCCTCTCTGATGTAGGAATCGAGGCCCCCAGCCGCCTCCTCCCGCAGGCCCTGGTGCCCTGGTGCTCACCCCTCCTCCTGCGGAACCCAGGGCTCCCCCCTCCCCCAGGCCCCTCGAGCGGCCGCACCGTCTCCGAGGAACTGCAGGAGCGCCAGGTCGATGGGCCGCTTCCAGCGGGAGCCCTTGTGCAGCGCGATGCCATAGCCCGTGGTGGCAAAGACCTTGCCCGAGCCAATGGTGACGAGCTTGCAGCCCTCGTCCTTGCGGGCCATGTAGTTGAGCACAGCGGCGTCATAGATGAAGGCGTCCAGCTTCCTGGGGGCAGGGGCATGAAGGGCAGGGTCGGTCCCACCCAGATGCCCTCAGGGCCCAGCCCGGAACCCCTGCCACCCCTAACCTCCAGCTGCTCCAGTCATTAACTAATAACTCTTCTTGAGCAAGCTGCACCTCTTTGTGCCTCAGTTTCAGTCTGAAAAATGGAGACAACAGCTACATTTCCCGTGGGGTTGCTGCAAAGGTTAGATAGTGCTTGGTGCTGAGGAAGTGCTGGCGAAATGTTAGCTGAGACTGTTAATGAGATAATTACTCGTTTAATTGGCACCGGAGCCCTCCAAAGGAGCCCTATAGATCCTCCCTTTTAGAGAGGACGGTCGCCCAAAAAGAATCATATAAATAATAATACAATGTTAATGATCGCTAATATTGTGCCAGGCACTGTCCATCTGCTTAAATAAGTCATTTAATCCTCACAACATTCCTATAAGGTAGAAACTATTATCTCTATTGTTCAGACCGGGAAATGCAGGCCCAGACACCCCGCCTTAATTTGCTTGCTAATTTCTAAAACTTGCTGAAAAGGTGGTCGGGGATATGGAGTCAGCTCTCACAGAGGGATACATGGTGGCATTTGCCACATGTCACGTCCTTCACAACTGCTGCAATTGTACACTTATTTCTGTGATTTATCTCAGCCTCTCCCACTAGACTGAGAGTCCCATGAGGGGAGGGCCCGAGTCTACCATGTTCCAGGCTGTGACCCAGCACAGCTCCCGCACATACAAGGTGGTTGTAAACATTTGCAGGATGAATGAGCGAGTAAATGAATCCACACCGTGGAACGCTGTGTAATTAATGCTTATGATCTGACATCAGAAGATATCCAGGGTGTATTAATGTGAAGAAAAAACCCCCACAAAAACTAGTCCCAGAATCCCATATAAAGTATAAATACCTATGTGTTTTTTTAAAAAGGACATATGTATGGGGTGAAATTTTGGTCATCTTGACTACAGACACCAGACTAGCTCCTAGAGGGAGGCGCCTATCTTGCCTAGTCCAGCATTGCCCGAAAGAACATTCTGTAGTGATGGAAATATTCCATCTGCACATCTAGTGTGGCAGCCACCCGTGGTTCTTGACCTCTTGAAATGTCCCAGTGAGACCAAGGGATGGAACTTTACATTTAATTTGAATTAATTTAAATTTAAATAGTATTGGACAGTGCC